ACTAGAAAACACATATTAAACACAAACCAAAAGTTCTTTTTGGAGTGATTGAAAATAATCTTTTTTAAACAAAAATCATCTTATAGCCTGCATTATTAATATTATTTCACTCATGTATCTTGCAAGATTTCTGGGATGTGGCTTGTTTGGCCACAGAAAGCTGGACCTGGGACAATACAATTTGACTATCTCACTTTTTCAGAAACTTTTTCCTGTTGCTGTATCAATAGGTAGCAGTTAGCCATGAACGATGAGGATATGTGAAGGGAACCTAAAATGTAAGAAGAGATCACAAGGTCTTCGAGAGGAAAACACTCACAGGTGACCAGCCCACCCAGGTCATGGGATGTCAGGAGATGCTTTTGAGTCCCCCAACTTCTCAAAGGTGAGTCTACGACTACAGTTCCTGGAATAATAGATCTTTACTTAACAAAAGAAAGATCCAGGCCCCCTCTAGGGGTCAAATGGATCCAGTAATCATTTGTAAAATTCTGTAAGCCCACCCTAGCCTCCTGTTGTGTACCTGTGACAGCCCCAAAGTCTAGACCTACAGATAGGAATTTCTCACAGCAATCCTAATAAATACTCATATCCCCAAAGGCTAATATTGTCATCCTCACCCTAGAGTACGCCTGCTTTCATTCTGTTGAAAATGTATTCTTTTCCTAATAAATTTTGATATCACTCTAACTATGGTTACTTGTCTTGCCTGAATTAGAATCAAGATAGTTATGCTGACCTTTGAGTAACAATATGAGCAGTATGCATTTACTTTTCTATTCTTTGTGCTACTCAATAGTCATTTGTGTGTCCCTAATTTTGTTCACTTTAATCCAACAGGTATTTCTTAATATTCCAAGTGTCCCATGCCCTTTTTATAGATCACAGGAATGAGTGTGATGGATGGAGCTCATTCAAACCCCCTGTTCTGTGCTGACTGGCTGCCTGAGAGGAATGTATTGGTCAAGGTAGAACTACCTGACCTATCAGGGAAACATCTTTGCTTTTTCTTTTCTGTGGTGTGCCCTGGGTGTGAGAAATGGGGTGAGACAGCAGGAGGGTAAGATAGTTAAGGTCTTGTTCTCTATCTGCAGGGAGTTGGACGGCCTGGAGTTAGGCTGTAGCCATGCAGAAACTCTGATGTGGGGTAGATACCACAGGGAGTTCAGGCCAGATATGTTTGAACTGTATGAGATTTGTGCTAATTTATTTTACTAAGGACTCAAGTAGACTTGGGGTGGAGAAAGGAGACAGAACCTGAATTAGATTGGGAGAGGCCACTAGGATACTTTCTTGTTGTTGTTTTTTACCTTATGTTTGAGTGGTGTAATACTTATCTTCGTCATCATTTTATGGTTCAAGAACTTTTGCATTATGTGCAGGACTGCAGAAATGGAATTGCTTCATTATTGCCTCATGAAATTAATAGTGATGCTTATTCACTCACCTACTTATTCATTTCATAAGTATTCATTAGACATACAGCAGGCACTTGTAGTGTGTGATGTTGACATGTTTATTTCAATGTGAAAATGATTTTTTCTTTTTTTTTTTCCAGTACTGGGGCTTGAACTCAGATCTTACACCTTGGACCACCTACCAGCCCTTTTTTGTGATGCTGTTTTTGAGACAGGGTCTCACAAACCCAGGATGGCTTCGAAGCACGATCCTCCTGATTTCTGCCTCCTGAGTAGCTGGGATTACAGGTGTGAGCCACCGGCTCCTGGCTGAAGTGATATTCTTTTGGGTGAATCTTGTATTCTATCACTTTTGCATAGAACTGACAATCATCTCTATTTTAGGAAAGGGTAGTTAAAATGTCGTGCAAATGTTTCCAACATTAGCCAAAATTTTACTGTATATTCTCCTGAGCATCCAAAATTCTTGCATTCCATGTCCAGTCCAAGGCCTCCGTTTCCACCCAGAACCAGATTCATAGGAAGAACTTGAATGCATACAGTGGAAAACTACAAAGTATAATAGCATGTCACATTGACTATGACAATTTTTGTCAGGTGAGAAATCATTTTGCTTGCATAAATAGAAAAAAGCTTTGTTTCAGGTTTATTTTTATCAAGGATTTTATTTATATCTCGGATTTAGCATAACAATGAATGAATTATAGATTTGCTATTAATCCTACACATTTCCTAACAACCTGTAATTAGTCCTTTCCATATGTATTTGCACAATTATATACCTGTGTATAATTGTGCCTGATAAAGGAAACAATCCCACCTATTTGCTTTTACAGCCACACTTGCTCACTGGCCCCTCACCATTTCCAAGTATATAATGGTGGGAGGAGCTCTGAGTTGCTCTTTTCTCTCTTCAAGGAATAATAAATGAAACTATACTTAGCAGATCAATTTTCAGTAGCACAAATCTCAGATCTAACCACTCCCTTTGTAAGTCGCCTGGCTGTCACAGAGCTCATGCAGACAAAGATTGGCTCTGACTGGAAACTTGGCTATCAGAACACATTTTGGGGCTTTCATAGGAAATATCAAATTTCTCTGGTAAGTAGCACTAGGGTGGGCTTAAAATAAACTAGGGTGGTCTTACTATCAAATGAACTCTTTCCTTGGTAAGGAATAAAGAATGAGTTTGAATTGTAAGAACTACAGTTGGCCTGGTTGTTGTTCCCATGGAACTGTATCCTATGTATGATTTTGGAACTGAATAAGACATTGTGAATTGATTGTTCACTCACCTTGATGCATTAAGCCTTGAATTATGGAGCTTTCTTCTCCACTACTTCATCAGCCCTTAGGATCCCAAAGCCCTTCTTTATACCTGACTTTCCTGTGTCTTCATGTTTGCAACTGAAAGCCACTTCTTTCTATGCAAGGTTTTATGGAAACTATCAGGCCTTAAAATACCCATATCAATGACTTTTTGTTACCAAATTTGACAGCAAGTCATTCACACAGCCAAGATCTCTTGATATCTACCTACTTTCTAGGGGAGAACAGAGATACTGAGAGAAAATTTCAGTAATACGTTAAGAGCCACCATTCATTCAATGAGCAGTCAATGAGCATTGAATGAGTACTAGACGACATGCTCTTACTTTACTAAAACCTTCCAAGGACTCTACAACCTTCATAGCTGAAGTACATCTCCTCGAAGTCCACCCCAGCAATTGCTTATCTACTGTCCTAATCCTGTTAGCCTGGCCTTGGGGAGGAAGGCCAGCAAGCGAGCAGGTTTACATTTACAAAATGCCTCCCACCATGTGCCAGGCACATCTTAGGCTCTCGCTCTGATGACTTACTTAATTCACACAGCAGAGAAGTGCATCAATGTAGACTTTAGAACTGCATTAAAAAGAAAGCCAATGCAACATTCTTTCCTTCTTTGGATTGGAAAAAGTTATTTGGGCCTTTATAGCTTTTTTATAATTAAAAAGTGAAAAATTACTGAAATTTCTACTTTCAAATAAAGTAGTATCTCTACTACTATTTTTCAAATAAAAAAGTTTTAGAAACATTATAGCCTACTGATTGTGTAGGAGAAAATGTAACTAGGTTGATGGGTACAGGCAGAATGCCTAATGCTGCTGCTGAGGGGTTGATAGGCAAAACCCACCTGAAACCACTATTATAGAAGTGTTTACACTCTGCTCTTGATCTATAATAAAAACGTTCCTAATAATAAATCCAGATGGTGGATAATATACTGCAGGTATCTTTTAAAGTTAGAAGAAAGGATTTTGAATGCTTTTGCCATAAAGAAATGATGTGTGAAGAGACAGATATGTACCCTGATTTGAACATTACACAATGTATACATGTTTTGAAACATCACATAGCATCCTATAAGTATGCATAATGTTTATGTTAGAAATTTAAAAAATAAGTACATAAACATAAAATCCAAATGGCAAATCCTGGTTTATTTTCTGTACCAATGACACCCGTTAACAGTCAGCAGGATGGCCCCATTCCCAGCTATCTCTCTCCCCTAACATCCTATAGTTTATATCACATTCTAGGGTGGACCCCAGAACACACAGAAGGGATTTGCTGAAACTTTTCTAAGACTGCCTCCTCTATTAGGGTCAGCAGCCCCACCCAGGGCCTGTTTAGAATTCCACAGAATAAAAGATGAGAAAAATAATGAAGGCCCTGACCCAGAAATTCAAAATTTTCTCTAGCCTTAGAGAAAAAAATTCCTCAAGTGACATAGATGTAGAGACCTGATTATTGCCTCATTGATAAACCTAAAGAGGCCAGCCTGTACTTGGGTACGGTTTAGTCTAGCCTGGGTGCAGTAACATTTATCTTAGTCATCATTTTATAGTCCCAAATGTTTTGTCTAATGTTCTTGAGTGCAGAAATTAAGTAGACTCTTAAGTGCTTAGTAAAATTAATAGTGGTGTTCATTCACTTATCTCACTGAGTAGTTAAGTTCAGTTCCCTGAAGACAAAAGCCTCAAGGACCATATTCTTATCTTTGGCTTATGAGTCCTCACCCACTGTGGTGATAAGGAATGCTGTCAGCCTGCAGTCAGAAAACAGGTGAAAGGCTGTGCTTCAACTACTCAGATAACATTTCTCTTTCTTCTGCTGTGGTTGTAGGCAAAGGGAATGTTCCGGTAAGTAGTCACAATGAAAACTTGGTTTCACAAAATGCACCACCTCTGCGGGTCCAGGGTCGCGGGGCTGACTCTGTACAGCTGGCCTGTTCGGGTCCTGGCCCCAGCAGACGGGTGCCTCTCGGCGGCTCATTCCAGCCGCCTCTCGGTAGCTGCTGTAGGGCTGGCTCCCTCCCTCCGGCGGGCGTCGCTGGCGGATAGCAGGACCGTGCGAGCCCGAAGTGCCTTTGGTCAGTGCCTGCTCCTGCTACCACCCGGCGGCAGCTTTTAGAGGGTCTCAAGCTCCCTCACGTGTGCTAAGTCTGGAAAGCTAGGCTTCGGGCCACTCTGGACCAGGTCCCGGGCGCAGCTGGAAGGCAGGTAACGGCAGAAGGCCCAGATAGTGGACCCGCAGTCGAGGATGAGGCGCCTGTGGGGCGCAGCCTGGGAGCCCCGGGGTTGTGGACCGGGCGAAGAGCGGACAGGGGCGCAGCCGGAAATGCCCGGAGCCAGGCCCGCGGGACTGGAGAAGCGCGAGGCAGGGCGGCGCCTCGCTGCGCTCAGCGCCCGGTTCACCTCGCCCTGGCTGCGGGAGGAGGGGAGCCGGGCCCGCGGGCCTTTGGATTCCGGGACCGCCCCCTCTCGCTCCCCGGCCAGCGGTGACCGGCAGAGGCAGCCGCAGCCTCAGCGACAGCATGAGACCCGGTGCCGCCCTTCCCCGCCGGCGGACGCGTGGCAAGCGGCGGCGGCTGGGCCCATGCGCTCCACAGGGGCGCCGTGGAGCCTCGTCGGCCGCCCGCAGCGCCGACGCCGGGGGCCGCCGCGGGGCGCGTGGGCGCTGACGGCCGCCGGGCTGCTGTGCACTGCACTGGCCGCCTACGCCTGCTGGGGACAGCTGCCGCCACTGTGGCCGTCCCCTGCGCCGCCGCGGCCGGTGGGCGTCCTGCTATGGTGGGAGCCCTTCCGGGGCCGCGGGGGCGCGGCCAGGCCGCCCCCCGACTGCGGGCTGCGCTTCAACATCAGCGGCTGCCGCCTCCTCACCGACCGTGAGGCCTATGGAGAGGCCCAGGCTGTCCTTTTCCACCACCGCGACCTGGTGCGGGGTCCCCCCGACTGGCCCCCGCCCTGGGGCGTCCCGGGGGGCGCGGCGGCGGAGCTGGGGCTGCGCGAACTACACGGCCAGGAGGAAGCGGGGGCCGCGGCGGCCGAAGCTCTGGCGGCCTCGGGCCCCAGGCCCCCGGGCCAGCGCTGGGTGTGGATGAATTTCGAGTCGCCCTCCCATTCCCCGGGGCTGCGAGGCCTGGACGCTGACCTCTTCAACTGGACGCTCTCCTACCGGGCCGACTCGGACGTCTTCGTGCCATACGGCTACCTCTACCCCAGGAGCCACCCCCGCGAGCAGCCACCAGGCCTGGTCCCGCCGCTGGCCCGGAAACGGGGGCTGGTGGCCTGGGTGGTGAGCCACTGGGATGAACGCCAGGCCCGGGTGCGCTACTACCACCAGCTGAGCCGACACGTGCCCGTGGACGTGTTCGGCCAGGGCGGCCCAGGGCTGCCGGTGCCCGACAGCGGGCTCCTGCACACGGTGGCCCGCTACAAGTTCTACCTGGCCTTCGAAAACTCGCAGCACCTGGACTACATCACCGAGAAGCTCTGGCGCAACGCGTTGCTGGCCGGGGCGGTACCGGTGGTGCTAGGCCCAGACCGTGCCAACTACGAGCGCTTCGTGCCCCGTGGCGCCTTCATCCACGTAGACGACTTTCCCAGTGCCTCCTCCCTGGCTACCTACCTGCTTTTCCTGGACCGCAACCTGGCGGTCTACCGCCGCTACTTCCACTGGCGCCGGAGCTACGCAGTGCACATCACTTCCTTCTGGGACGAGCCCTGGTGCCGGGCCTGCCAGGCTGTGCAGACAGCTGGGGACCGACCCAAGAGCATCCACAACTTGGCTGGCTGGTTCCAGAGGTGAAGCCACCCTCCCTGGATTTGAGCTTTTCCGACTCTGCTCTCTCCAAACACCTGTTTTTACCCTGGGATAAAGGTGACTTGCCAATTAACAATATTTAGCACAAGGATGGAGTGGGAAAATTCGTTGGTTCTCGTGATTTTTTTCACAGCTAGCACTTGGGATTCCTCTGCTGTGATGGGCATCAGTATTGGGGTGAAGAAGGACCCTTTCTTACCGGGTAGTGTGAAGAAGTAGCTTAGCTACTAGAAGCTGGGCGGCGGGGGTGGGGGGTGAGGGCGGGGTGGATTTTTTGAATTTCTTCCCCTACCAGGAGTCTTATGGCCTGTGAAACCTCCAAGTATCAAACTCACTGCTCCCATACTCACATTTGCCTGGATTAAGGTGAAGCAAACCTCTGGTTTTAGAAAAAGCATTGGTGTGAGAATAGTGGACCGATTGTGTCTACAAGTTTGTTTGTTTCTTTTTTTTTTTTCAAATTTGTTGGCCGGATTCCTCAAACCCTCCTATCCTGGGAAAAGTGAGGAGCGCCCTTCAAGAAGCCGTTAACTTCCTTAACAAGCACTGTTTGTTCTTCCACCCTATGAATGGAAACAAGAGGGTAGATTGTCCTTGGAGGAAGATATATGGTTGTACCTCACTTTGCACAAGCAATGTATTCCTGAAAAGCGGCATTTAAATCAAACCCCCAAAATCCAGCCCTAAGGGAGTTCAGTATTTAATGGAACTCTATGGAGAATCCCTTCATAATGTGAATAATCATCTCCTAATTTATTTCTTCTTTATATTTTCCTATAACCTGGATTTTAAAAAAAACCGTTAAAGTTCAGAGAAAATAAAGCACAAGCAACTTTCATCTCCCCCTTTTCCTAGCAAACCAGCCTGTGTTGACAAACAGAAGAGAAGGAAGCCACAATATCACTTCCACAGTTAATTTGTTTCATGTCTTTGCTAGACCTGAAATTTAAACTGGAATGTTATTCCCTCAGAAGTGCCAAACAGTGAACGAGATTGCATTGCATTATGGGATCATGAGTTTCTAGTGTCTGTTAGTGGCAGATTTTTTTTTGTCAGTGTTTATTCAAATGTTTAGATCCTGGGGAACAGAAGTAAACTAGTGCCTGCAATTACCTGACTCAGGCCTCCCTCCCAGTCTGCATTGTAGTACAGCAAATTCTCACATTTCTGGTGTCTTTGAGACTATGCTGTGGGACCAATCTTGAAATTATTTGCATTGACATTACAGGTTGTTGAGTGAGCAGCTTATCCAACTGGATACTGTCTGCCTGCTCTGTGCCAAACACTGGCTAGTGGCCCTGGGGAAAATTAAAAAAAAAAAAAAAAAGATGTAAGGCATGTCTTTTTCAACATACACTCTTACAACCTACCACTGCCAAAAAGTGAATAGTGACTTTGATAAAACAACTGTCAGCTGGGAATGGTGGTGCACAGCTGTAATTCCTGTTTTCCAGAGGCTTAAACACAAGGATCTGGAGTCCAAGGCCAGCCTGGGCTACATAGCAAACACATGATAATTTTAATGATGTAAACCATAAGTCAATGATTAGAAAGCCATTTGATTTAAAGCCTGAAATAATGGGAGTTTATCCCCAAGCTTTTATGATAAAGACCCTCAGTAGTTATTGTGTGTAAGGTCCAAGATTAGTTTTATACAGAGTTCTGCTTTTGCATTTGATTAATACAGTTATCTGAGTCAAGTTTTACCTCTATGTACATCTATTGCATATATACTTAAAAAGTTCACTAAAAGCTAGGTGCTTCAGTTTTTTTCCCTTAAGAGGAGAAATTAAAAGCTATGGATAACATTTCCTCATTAAAGTATTATAATGTAGACAGAAAAAATTGCAAAGTACCAGTTATCCAATAAACATAAAAGTTCTACTTTTAAAATGGGTACCCGATATTGCCCAGTGATCTTGGTGTTATTGAGGGTCTGCATGGTACAGTAAGAGTTTATGAAAGTAATTTGGTTTAGATTTGAACTGGGTGACTTTGGACAAATGAGTAAGAACCTTAAGCTATAAATGAGAGGAAAATACTTAAGCACTCCTTGTGAGCATTTCAGGAAATAAGTGAATATGCCTAACAGTGAACACTCCACTTATTCTCTGTCCTCATGAATAGGTGATAGATAGATTGATTGATTGATTGATCCTTGCAAGGATTTTAGGTTGCTTTCATATCCATTTTTATGTCTGAGATTAAATCTCAACGTATATGACAGAATAAATTTGAAATAAAAGATGCCTCATATCATGTATTTCAAATAAGTCTCTAAAGCTAATCCATTTTCAAGAATTCTTCAAATTAAGCTTGCATTTGGAGATTGGCATTTATGCTCTTTTGAAAAGAACTGTTTTGGTATGCTATACAGCTAAATTCCTTGCCACTGCTCTTTTAGTATTCCATTAAAAACCAGCTACCTATTCACTGAACATTTAGTGTGAGGAAGAATGCACATAAATGTATTATATATTTCCTATCATGGTCATGCCCTATTTTAAGACATAAACTTTTCTTTCAAATATATTACACATTTCATATTTTAGCACTGGATGACTTCATTACATAAGAACACCTGGAAGGGTATTTGCATCAGAAGGTGATCTGACTTTCATGCAGTACTCACATTCTTTCCAGTTTCTAATTCCTGACAATAGAAGGAAGACAGGGTAGCTTCATGAAAGTACATAGCTCTGTCACTTTCTGCTCCTGTGGCCTTAATAGGCAGGTAATTTTAACTGTTGACCATTAACTTCCTTAGTTTAGTTTTTTTGTGATGGTATAGAGTTTGACCTCAGGGCCTCATGTGCACATGCTCTACCACTTGACCAACACCTCCAGGCCTTTTTCCTTTTTCTATTTTTCAGGTACCATTTCACCATCTCTGCTCTAGACTTTTAAAGATGTAAAGATTTTGGTAAACTAAGCATCCATTTAAAAATATAACCCAAGTGGGCTTTTGGAAGGGATTTAGGAGTTGGAGCTTAAGAATCCTGGAGACATATTCCTGGGTTCCTCAGCAAGCTTGGCAGCTAGTCGTCTGATCTTGGCAGTTATTTACACTTTTCTGTGTATCCACAGTCATCTCTCATTTATAATAGTTTATGAAGTGCTAAGAGGATAAGATACATGAAGCATTCAACACAGCACCTGTCACAAGGGAAGCCCCTAGAAAATGTGATTACCACCAGTCCCTTTTACAAAGGGAGAAGCCAAGGTCCAGACCCTCTGAAGGACTTCCCTAAGTTATGATAGCAGTGATACAGCTAGCCATGTCCATGAGAGTCACAACACCCCTGAGCCTCTGTCACTTGAGCTGCAAAATGAGGTTGGACAGAATAAACTCTTGGGACTGTCTAGTTCCACTTACTATCCTACTAATTGTCACTCTAGGGCTTAAAGAACTAATTCCCCTCCCAATGTGCCTTCCTTAAATCCAAGGATGAGTTAATTCATAGGAGCAATAAACTGGCAGAAATCCAGGCATCAAAAAAGGAGAATTTGAATGTAAATGTGTGTGTGTGTGTGTGTGTACACATTGCACAGTGAAGGAGAGGACCAAATCTTTGGTAATTAGTTTGGTGAATGATCACACGGCATACATTTCAAGTCATTGTTGTATGTATCTCAGGGACTTTTATGCTACACATTCTTTTAAGAAATCATGTCTGTATACATATTCAGATTGCTTTGACAAAATTATTAAAGTAGTGAAATGGAGAAATGACTCCTTGTTTATAAAGTATACCCCCATGCACTGGTGTGTTCACCCATGACCCAAGGAGTATCTGTTGGTTGGGGCAGTTTCTGTGAGTTCATTCGTTCTAGATTGGCAACTGAAATGTGGTGCTTTAGCTCTTCTGAGTTACACCAGGTCCACCTTGTTTTTTCTTGCCTGGCTTGTTCCCTCTAACCTGGTGTCTACACATCTCCAAGGGTATAGGCATCACTCTCCTTTCAGTTCAGTTCATTCTCCTAAATGCTCTGATAGCCTCTATGTACAACCTCTAGCTCCTGTGCACCAAATCAAATAATGTCTTATTTTTGGCAGTATTGGGGTTTGAACTCAGGGCCTCATGCTTGCTAGGCAAATGTTCTACCACTAGAGCTATGTCCCCACCCAAATAATGCTATTTTAAAGAGGTGGAATTAAAAAAAAAAAAAACAGGTGAAATAAAGAGGGAACACAATGATGGGCAGAGAGTAGGAAGGCAAGCTTTATTCTTGACAGGATTCTCCAATTGTTGAAAGGGGAAAATCTGAAGTTGGAATAAACATTGAAGATTCTTTTCTCTCCTACCTGCCCTCCTCTAGTGTGCGCACACACACACATACATTCAAATACAGACTTTGAAAAATGGCCCTGACCAGCTGAAGGTAGGAGCAACACTGTCAAGGAAAGACTCAGTAATAAATGAGTTAAAAGAAAGTGCAGCGTAATGGAGCAGGTGCTGAGTAGTGATTGGCAATGAAGAGGGAAAAAAGTAAAAGTAAGGTTTGGCGTCAACAAGTTCAAAATGTTTGAAGAGAAGGTGAGAAGATTAGATGGAAGGAGAAGAAACTAAAAAGATGAGAAAAGTAGAGGAAAGAAAGGGTTAAAGGACAACAAGTAGGATAAAGCAGAGACATGCTCAGAGAATGAGGGTACTACTGAAAATGCACCATTCATGATGTCCCTTTGATGAAGAGAAACCTTTATCGCAGCTTGAAACTAACATCTGTCCGCAAGTGGGAGTGAAATCAAAATGTGTGACCTCCCTGTCAGGAACTTAGCAAAGAGTGAACTAATATCTCACCAGAAACATCAAACTGTCGATTAGGAATGCATCTTTCATCTTGGGAAAAAAATTACATTTACTGCCGTTTTTTCATTCCTTGCTAGCATACTTCATCTGAACTCAGTATCTTCTTTTAAAGAAATCTCTTTTCATATAGTTGTAATCACCAACTTACTCTTAAAGAAGAGGAAAATACGTAAA